TTCCATTATCCAGTCAATCTTTAGAAATGATAATTAAAGCAAAGCTCTCTCTCAGAGCCTAGAGAGAGCTTTGCTGAGAGAATATTGTCAACAATCTAAAGACAATCTGTCTGGCGCACTGGAGCCTACCATTGCTAGGTTTCAACAAAGCGCAGTGCAACAAAACAAGTCCACCAGTCCAAACAAGTCCAAAAGCATGGGTTTACGAGAGCTCAAAGTACGGATGATCTAGCTGTACTACATCTACAGCTATGGCAGCATCTACAGCACAAAAGTCAAGATCAACTTCAACCAATCTTGCTTGTTTTCAAAATTCCGTTGCTTTTTTGGCTACAGACAGCTTAAAACCCCAATTACTGTAACGTGGCGCTCAAGGCTTTAAAGAGGAAAAGAAAAGAGGAATCCTAATTCCCCCGTTGATCTTTCTCCTTTCTTTTTTTTCTTTTTTCATTTCCCCCTTTTTGAGATATAAGCCCCGCCCACAATCACCGCCAATTAGAGTGTCCCTTCTTCTCCAAAACCTTTTCTCTTTTCCCCCTCCTTCTCCAAAACCTTTTCTCCTTTCTCCTTTCCCTCTCCAAAGCCTTTTCTTGATCTCCATGTACAGCCCCTCCCCCTTTTTCTCATCAGAAACGCCAGAACAGACTCCGATGAGACATCTCTAGTTCTATTTTTCTAAAATAGATTTTATCGTTTACTAACTGATTCAAATTCAGTTAATAATTTCAATGAGACCTTGGCCTCTTTTTCTAAACCTACTCCACACTTTTCACCTCATTCAGATGAAAAAAACTTCAGCTTCAGCTTAAACTTCAGCTTAACAGCTTTCCAGAACTTGTATTTGTCGATCCTAGCCACATTTCATCAGCTTCAAGATCAAGTGATGATCCAGTAGTCAAAGAGTTTCAAGTTCGAGCTCTTGGACTCCGACTCGATCTTAGAGAGCTTGAAAATGTCTCACTAAATTCAATGAGGCATTTCCAAGCTTGTCTCACCAGTTATCTTTCTTTTTCTGATTTATTCATTTCTAAACTGTTTTCATTTGATTTATTTACACGAATAATATAGTAAAGAAATATACAATTCTAAGCTCTAAATGTAGGAAAACCCTAGCAATAATCTAGCTATATCTAGCAATAATCTAACCAAACGGAATTGAAGCCTTGATGTGCCGACTAAGATACAGGACTCCTAGCCAGTCAGCCATGATGCCATTAGATTCATCAAATTTGTCCTTTTCGTCAATTTGTCCTTTTGGAGTCTTATTGCCGGTTTTTTTAATTGTTTAATCTATTGAATGAAATGAAAATGAAATGGAAATGAGCTATCCTAATGAAAAAGAACTTTAGCAGACTTTAGCAACCAAAGCAGACTATCCACTCATTTTTAAACCTTCAAATCACCAAAGAAAGCATGGGTTTACGAGAGCTCAAAGTACGGATGATCTAGCTGTGCTAGCTAGATCACCCGTAGATCTAGCTGTCATCTACAGCACCAAAGCCAAGATCAACTTCAACCAATCTTGCTTGTTTTCAGAATTCTCAGAATTCTACATAATTCAGGTACAAGTCTAGCGACTTTGTTTTTCAAAAAAAAAAAAAAAAAATGAAAATCCTCAACTTTTCCAATGATCTCCTAATCGAATTATCCCCAATTTTCTCATAAAATCAAGCTCTTTTTCTTTAATTTCTATTATATTATAACGTTTCGAGATGATTGAAAAGATTAAATGAATGACGAAAAAAAAAAAAAAAAAAAATTTAATTTTGCGAAAATTTTGCGTAATCATTATTTTGAGAGAAGAAAATCTCGTGTTTTGACTGAAATTTTTGGAAATTTTCTTTTAAATCATCGAAAAATATGGTAAAAAAAAAGGATTTTCGAATGAATCTTGTTAACATTAGTCGGAAGGCGGTGATTATTGAAAATTGAAATGAATTGAACGAGATTTGATTGCAGAATGCTGGGGATGAGCTTAGAAATGAGAAAAACCGTTAGCCAATGTACTTTAAGCTTTAAAATGTAGTTATAGTTACATTTATTTACAGTAATCTTGTTAATAAACCCATTAAAGTGCACTGGATCTTTGAAATCTTGAATGAATTGAACGAGATTTGATTGGAGAATGCTTGGGATGAGCTTAAAAAGCTTCAAAAGCTTAGAAATGATAATGAGAAATGAAAACTGTTAGCTAATGTACTTTAAGCTTTAAAATATAGTTATACCTACAATTATTTACAGCAATCTTGTTAACATTAGTCGGAAGGTAGTGATCTTTGCGAATTGAAATGAATTGAACAAGATTTGATTGCAGAATGCTGGCTAGAAGGCAGAATGCTGGCTTAGAAATGATAAAAACCTTTATTCAATGTACTTTAAGCTTTAAAATCTAGTTATACCTACAATTATTCACAGTAATCTTGTTAATGAACCCATTAAAGTGCACTGGATTGTCTCATTTTTTTCCTTTAAACAACAGAAAGATTGTTGAAAAGTTTGACAAGTGTTTTCTGTACTTTTAAAAGAAAAAAACTCTTGAAATGATCAATAACTTATCTTCTCCAAAATCCCTTCACCTAATTAGCTTCACTAATTAGTTATAGTCTAAGCGGAAAAATGAAAGAAAAAGGTCAGATTAGAGGCATCTCTTTTCGCCGATTTCCCCATTCAACAGGTGATTTTCTTGTCTAATTCTTGTCTAATTCTGCTGATTTTCTTGCTCTCTTTTTGATTTTAAAATCTAATTACCATGATTTTCTTCTCATTTTTCACAATTTACAATGTGTTTTGACCTGTTTTTTTGAGATTTTCGATTCTCAAAATTCAAAACCCCCTCACTCGACTCTAATTAAAATTTTTCTCGATTTCTGAAGTGCAGAAAATGGGGAAATGTCTCGAAATGTCTAGAAAATGTGAACTTTTAAATAAAATGACTTGTTTTCTATTGAAAATTGTAATATCTGAAAGCTTAGAAAGAAGATTTGAAGCTAATTTACTAGGCTCAGGTGGCTTTGAAGCTCAGGTGCCATTGTGCACAGAGAGATCGCTCAAATTTTACAATCACTCATCTCATTTCTGTCGATATTCTGAGATTAGGTAAATCTTTAAATCTTTAACTTGATTTTTATCTGTAGAACTTTATCTTTTGACTTTAAACTAACTAACTTTAGGCTTCGAAAATCGTTTTTGGAACCAGGCAAATGACAGAGCTGACTCGGGGATTTCGTTTTGAAACTTTGAGCCTTCTGCAGTCTGTCTAAAAGATATCCTAACCGGCTAAAAGTCTGTCTAAAAGATATCTAATATGAAATTAATGCAATATAGAAAACATAGCTAGTTTTGAACTTTGTAGTGCCCTTTTTCTGATCCAACTTCCAGGAATCCCTAAGTCTAAAGCAATCTAAAGATCTCGGAGTTTGGGAACTTTTCGATTTTACTCTATAACTCGACTCTCAGTAATCAGATCGACTTGTGGTTGGTTTTAAAATCAATTTGGTCAATCAATCAATCAAATCAATCAATCAATCAAACCCTCATACAATTTGGTAAAGAGTAAACCTTCACTAAAGAGCTAAAGAGCCATTGAACAAAAATTGAACACTTTCTAGAAGAAAATAAAAGCTACAGCCTTTCTAAATGTTTCTAAATGGTTGCTGAGCTATAATTCTTTGGCTACGATTGAAATTACTGAACTGAAATGTAGAAATGTAGCTAGAGAATTGTAGAAAACTTTCTGTAGTACTGTAGTTTACTTTTTGAGTACTGTAGTTTACTCTTTTTGATTACTTTAGTACAACTCATTTACCAGAATACCTTTTAAAACTAGACTGTGTTTACTTTTTTTCTATTTTGATATCCCAAAATTATGCCTCATTTCTATTCTCGTCTCAAAAATCTTTTCTTTTCGCCTTTCTTCATTTTTCTTCACTCGATCCACCCTCCAGATTAGTCTCCAAAGCTTCATTTTTCCCCGAACATTTCATCCAGATTTGTCTACACACTTTTTTTCAATCTAAAATCTTTAAAATCCATGTTATCAGACTCGATTCTTCACTCGAAATTTCTCACTTCCGTCAGAAAACATTTTAAAATTGAAATTATGATTGAAATTTTTAAGTGATTTTCACTACAAGAGTTTATAATGATCAGACGTTCAAATAGGATGTTAGACTCGATTAGACTCGATGTTAGACTCGAATTTAAGATGTTAGACTCGATTACTTCTTAAAACAAGTTTTTAGCTTAGCTTGAGATTTAGATATTAGATTACAAAGCTTACTTTTGAAATTACCTTAGAGTTTAGATAGATTTTGAATAGTAATGCTTTAAGGTTTAAGCCAAGGGATAAGAGCCAGTCTGAACTAGAGCTGATCCAAAAACTTGTGCCCCGCCAAGACTCAAACCCGCCACCTTTCGCTCACCGGGCAACTGTGCTAAGCATTACACCAGCACTTGCAACAAAGCAACTCTTCCTTACAGATCGGCTAGTTAACTCTAGAGGGAGTTACAGATCGGCTAGTTAACTCTAGAGGGAGTTACAGATCGGCTAGTTAACTCTAGAGGGAGTTACAGTCGCTAGCCGAGGGTTACAGATGGCTGGTTAACCTACGGACAAGCTCTTAGTTTGGTTCATTGGTAAAGGGCACGCTTCTTGGGCGACTGCTCCGGCCGAACCCCCGGGCTCAAACCCTTGTCCCAACCTTCTGACATCATTTTATCCTTTCAACAAATTTATTTCTTTTTATGCTATTGTTTTAATATTTAACCTCTGAAACTTGATTTCTCTCTTTCTTGAAACCTTTGTGTTTTGATTTCCGACGAAAAATCTTTGCTCTGAAAAAGCAAAACATTGTTTTCTCTCTTTTCAGCGCTAATTATTCAAAACATTTCGAGATTTCATTTTTAAATGCAAATTTAATTGTGATTCATTCAAATTTTCAGGTATTTGTCTCAAAGTGAAAGTCAAAATTTTCGACTACACGAAAATCTCAACGATTTTTATGCCCGAAATCCTCGAGAAAGTGGCGGATCGGTAAAGAATTATTGAAAATTTATTCAAATTATTCAAATTTCAAATTCTTTTCATAAAAATCAATCATTTTTTCTCAAATTTCCATAAAACCTATTAAAATTGATGAAAAATTGAAATTATAGGGTATTTGGGGCAAAGAGAAACTTGTGTAGGCGAGGGGAAATCGCTGCTTTGTCGAGAAAGATCAGCTTTTAAAGTTTCCAATTTTGCAAAATCGCTTAAGAATCGAAATTTGCACGTAAAAAGGATAATCTTTTTGTTGTTTTCTGATAGAAATTGGGGTTTCAAAGTAATTTTTATTTAATTGAATCGTTTGCAAATTGAATACCTACCGTAAATACTGTAATAGTACTGCACACCCAGAATGACGGGCGGAGTGTTGTGTAGTCCAGCTTTGAACGAGTTTTTCTCGACACTGGTTTAAGCTACAATGCGCGCTTAGGTGTCAAAAAATAGCTGAAATTCAGGGCTATTTTTTGATACCTAAGCGCGCTTTGTAGCATAAGCCAATGTCGAGAAAAACTCGTTCAAAGCTAGACTACGCGATAATTACAGTATTTACTGTAGCTCGGGCTACTGTAGCTCGAGTTACTATAGCTTTTGATTATCTAAGAGTTACTATAGCTAAGAATCAATGTAGCTCCTTGATTCCCTGCTTATTCTGTAGCTTTTTGGATACATTACAGATGGTTACTGCACTTTCATCCCGTAAATTTTGACATTTTGTAGGCCAAATTTCAATTAAAGTAGATCAATTATGATGCTTAGATCTTAGATAACAGAATAACGAATAACGATTTCTACAGAATAACGAATGTACTAATAAACTTGTCGATTCCAGGTCAGAGACTGGAGTCGAGTCGGCGAAGAGCCCGACCACTCTCCCCGCAGCCACTGCAATCACTCCGATCCCAACCCCAACTCCATCCACTCCTCTCCCCAATCCCTTCCCCACTCTGGACGTTCCATCGATCATGAACATGCAACTATTCCTCCAGAAACAGTCGGAGCTCTTCCTCCAACAACAACAACAGAAATTTTTGGAGGCCGCACAGGTGAGGTTTTGACTTTATTAGTACTTTACTAATTAGTAAATAGTAAATATATTAGTAAATATTAGTATAACTCGATTTTTACCATTCTCACTTATAATATTACAATGAATCTCAGTTTTTATCCTTTTGTGAGCCTCAGAAAGCCTCACGCTCACTTTCTGAGGCTCAGTTCATTTTCTTATCTTTCTCAAGAAAAATGAGGAATCAAATACGCTAAACGGGGATTCGTTGACAGTACATGCAGTACAAGAGTACAAAGTACATGAATTAGATAGGACATTTTACAGTAAAAACTAAACAACGGCTAGCTACAGTACTTGGATTTTCATTAGCTGAATACTTTCAATACTTTTAATGAATTTTCAATGAATATTCCCATCCACCCCCACAAAAAAACAATTTCCCAAAGCGTTTCAAAGTTCTGAACACAAAACATGAAACCCTAGAGAAAAATGGAAAAGAAAGATCTAGAGAATTTTTTTAAAATCTCATGATAAGTAAATGAAACTACGTCAGGGAATTTTCAGGAATGTCTAGTGGTTTAATATCTTCAAATTTTCAAATTTCAATTTTCCCCAAAAGATTTGTAGTCTAATCGAATCAAGAATTGTAATGAATCCTACTTTTTTTTCGACAATTCGACAATTAGTCAAGAGAAAACTTATGTTTTAACGTAATTGAGCAATGAAACCGAGAAATTGGAGTACTTGGTGAACATTAAAGTCTATTAGAGGGGGAAATGTCGAACTTTTTAAGCGTCATTTGATTCATGGTTAATGAAATTTGTGTCTAGAGGATTTTTGGATTGATTTTTGAACTATTATAAACTTGTTTCAGCTTCAACTCGGCGGTTCACTTTTCCCAATGCCTCGAATGAATCCATTGCCGTTCAGCGGGCCGTTTACCATCGCTTCACTTACCGCTCAAACTGCGCCAAAGCCAAGAGAGGGAGCAGCTACGGTAAGGGTTGATCTGGGTTCGATATGGATCTTGCTTCTGAATCGGTTTACAGATCAAGATCCGATTAGAACAGTTTAATAGAATGTACAGCTGTAGCTGTAGCTGTAGAATGTACAGCTGTAGAAGTAGCTGTAGAATGGACAGCTGTAGAAGTAGCTGTAGAATGGACAGCTGTAGCTGTAGCTGTAGCTGTAGCTGTAGCTGTAGCTGTAGAATGTACAGCTGTAGAAGTAGCTGTAGCCTTATAACCTTCTTCTTTGTACTTGGAAATGAAAAGTCCAACTTTTAGCTAGCTTTCTTGCTAGATACTAGATTTATTTCAACTGTTAAACTGAATTCTAGGTTTAGAATAGTTTGTAGTTTAGAATAGAATTGTCAGCAACTCTTCGCAAACTATTATAAACTTAGAAATTCATCTATTAGACTAATAGTCAAGATTTTCTTTCCAGGATGAGCCACGAGAAGTAACGAGAAGTTCTCCCGTTCATCCATCACTCAATCTACACGAGCCTCGTCCCGGAATGTCGGATTTGAATCGATCCGATCATCTCGATTGCTCACCGGATGGATCGACGAGTCCCGATGAGAATGGGAAAAGGAAACAGAGAAGGTAAGCCAAGCAAAGAAATCTGGCCTTCATAGTTAGACATTAGTACTCAAAATCTGCCTAAGTACTATACTTAGGCAAATTGTGAGTGCTTCTAACGATTTCTATCGATTTCTAACGACTTCTAAAGTCTTCTAACGTCTTCTAAAGTCTTCTAACGTCTTCTAACGTCTTCTAACGTCTAAGTACTATCTTCTAAACTCCATCCACATTGTACTTCTAGTACTGTTCCTAGTTGAACTGAAAACCACTATCAATAAAATCGTAATGTTCTCTTTTCTCAAGAGAATTGAAATTTGATATACTCTAATAATTTCTCTTTTCAATTTCCCGCAAACACTCAAAACGTCAAATGTCAATCGGATCCTTTTTTTGAAAACTCTGAATATTTTTGAGGAAAAAATGATTTCTAATTGAATCCTAAGGGATTTGAGCTAATGAACTTCTTAGTTAACTATGCGTTTTGATTAGGATTCGTTGAGATCATATGGCTACAAAGTTTTGAGTGAATTTCATCTTTGATTGTTTGAGGCTTGGCGAGGAATGGGTAATGGATTAGATTGAATCGAATTTTGACTACAATAATGTACAGATAAGACTTAGACCTTTGGTTTATAGCTGAGGGATATCTTAGTCGATTCGAGTTGTCGGTGAATGGAATAAGATCGAATAAGAATGGAATGAGATAATAATATGGAAAATGTTGGCTAGTCAACTTGCAGCTCACTTTTAAGCACCTTAAACTTATCAGATCAGAAAGCTTGAATAAGATTTAGATAGCTTAGAATGTCAGCTTTCAGAAACTATTTGTTTTATCAAAAGTTATTAACAAAATCCTGTCCAAAATCGGACTGCAAATTGGCCAATTTCCAGATTCTCTACTGAATATCTTTTTCTACCAATAGATAACTTAATTCTTTGAGTTGATTGTTGATTTAGAGACTTAGAATTGATTCACTACCTTCTCTATTTCCTCTACTTCCTCTACTTCCTCTACATCCTCTACATCCTCTACAAAAACCTATCTAAAATTGGACTGCAAATTGGCCAATTTCCAGATTCTCTACTCAATATCTTTTTCTACCAAATAGATAACTCAATTCTTTGAGTTGATTGTTGATTTAGAGACTTCGAGTTGATTCACTACTTCCTCTACTTCCTCTACTTCGTCTATTGCCTCTACTTCCTCTACTTCCTCTACTTCCTCTACTTAGATACTTAGATTATCTTCCTTACTAGATAACTTTCAGTTTTTTACGACTTTTATGAAATTGAAGAGATGGTTGAATGGCTTCAATAGCCTTTCTGATCTAACTAAATAGCTTTTCTGAATACTCAAATCTTCAATGAACATCAATTTCTACAAATAACAATAGAATCTTAACGATTTCCCATTCCAGATACCGTACAACTTTCTCGGCTTATCAATTGGATGAACTCGAAAAAGTCTTCGCTCGCACTCACTACCCGGATGTTTTCACAAGGTTTGCGCTTTTAATTTCATCAAAAAAGGGAAATAGAATTCCCGCTTATTAACCGCTTATTTTCGTGGAAACCAAAAATAGGCAATTATTTGAGGGGAAAAGAAAAAAAGAAACACTAATATTAGCCGGAGATTTTTCTAGAAGAGAAAAGTGCAAATGTATAGATTTAAATGAAAATATTATTAGAGTATTATTGGAGTATTATTAGCGCTATTTGTTTATCTTCTCGACTTCAATTAGTTGCGTAATTGGAGAGTTGAGTGAATCGCTTGATTGGGTGCAATGTTTACGCAAAATATTAGGGTTATCAATTGGGATTGCGATCGAAAAGTCGAAAGCGGGGGAAGAAAATGGTCGGTTCTAGATTCCCATACAAGTGTTTGGTTCAAAAATTTTGCATATAAAACGCTTTGTAGAGTAAACGAACGAGATTACAATAGTTTTTGATAGGATTTCTTCAATCATTCAACTATTAGCAAAGAAAAACTATAAGCAATTAGTATTCATCGCTTCGCTAATTCATCCAATTCGCTAATTCATCCAAATTCTACCTACAAAATCAATATTCGTTATTCGTAAATTTGCATTAAATTTACCTATAGAATCAACTGAATCAATTCAATTAAACCAATTTCTGTTAGTAAATAGTGATTAGAAGTTTTTTTTATGTAAAAATGAGTCTTAAAACTTTAGATTTATTTTGTTAAGAACTAAAAATAGATCTTTAGACCAATTTCTATCAAATCTTGTAAGAAAGGACTTTCTTTTCCTCAAAAGAAAGTCCTTTCTTTTGAGGAAATTCATGTCAAACTTGATTTGAATATGATCGGAATGAAGAAATTCTCAAAGCTTCTCTGAAACACAAGCTTTCTCACCGTACTTGCTAGGTTTTGATCTTTCAAAAACAAAGATCTGACAAAGAGCTGACAAAGAGCTGATAAAGAGCTGATAAAGAGCTGATAAAGAGCTAAATTTCTCAACTTTCCCTTGTAAGAAGGGAAACTCTGTGGCTATTGATGTCAAACTTGTATTCTTTGTTTCAAACTTGATCTGAATATGATTGGGATGAAGATTTCCCCAACCCGAATGCCGCCTTTTATGTGTATTTATTTGAAGTGTGACACATAGATTTCTTAGATCCAAGCAAAAATGACACCCTTTTGAGGAGCTAAGAGTCTCTGAGCCAAAGAGATTCGACCGCTTGGGGTAAAGAGCACTGTAATCGAGCATGGGCCTAGTTGTAAAACTGTTCTTTGTCTAATTTTAAGCTTTTCTAAGCCTATTCTTTGTCCTTTGCGCTCAAAACGAATCCCTTCTAGTGCACTAAACTCACTTCTATCCACCTTTCACTTTTTCCCCTTATAGTTTCCAATCTCCGGGCGATTACAAAACCAAGATCAATCACTTCTTCATGACTAATTTCTGAGTTTTGCTTTAAAAATCGTTTTCTATTCTATTTTCTATATAAACAAGCCTCAATTTCCCAAAAGAAACCTTAAAAAAAGCAATATTTTTTACAACAAATCCTCAACAAATCCTAGATCATCAGCTCTAGATATTTTTAGTGCAAATAGCTTGAATCTTATTTATTCATTCATTTGCTGAGCATTACGTACATTTACCCGAATTTATGAAGCTTTGAGAAGAGAGAGTTTCTTGGAATTTGAAGATGATTTGGGAAATCGTAATTTCTTAAAAAGAGACAGCCTTTCAGCTAAATCTGGTGTACAGAATCTGGTGTACAGAATCTGGTGTACAGAATCTGGTGGACAGAATCTGGTGTACAGAATCTGGTGTACAGAATCTGGTGTACAGAATCTGGTGTACAGAATCTGGTGGACAGAATCTGGTGTACAGAATCTGGTGCACAGAATCTGGTGTACAGAATCTGGTGTACAGAATCTGGTGTACAGAATCTGGTGTACAGAATCTGGTGTACAGAATCTGGTGTACAGAATCTGGTGGACAGAATCTGGTGGACAGAATCTGGTGGACAGAATCTGGTGGACAGAATCTGGTGTACAGAATCTGGTGCACTTTGTGCGCAGAAAAGCTCCTCAACAAATCCTAGATCATCAGCTCTGAGAAATTCTAAGATATTTTTAGTGCAGATAACTTGAATCTCATTCATTCATTCATTCATTCATTTGCTGATTGCGTGCAGTTGGATGGGATCATTACGCACATTTACCCGAATTTATGATGAAAGTTTTGAGAAGAGAGAGATTCTTGGAATTTGATGAAGATTTGGGAAATCGTAATTTCGTAATTTTGGGATCATAATTTCTGCAAAAAGAGATTCAGCTTTTTAGCTAAATCTGGTGCACTTTGTGCGCCAAAACCCACCCCTTCTCGTGCACTGAATTCTTCAATTTCTCGTGAAACCAAGATAGAAAAATAAAGACTCCAGTGCGCTTGAAAGGGTACGTTTAGCCATTTTTTGTTGCCCAATGAACAAAGATCTTTGAGCCTCTAACTTGGAGATTAAAACAAGGTCAACATTTTCAAAATTTCAAGAAAAAAACCCTTTTCTCCAGAGATCTTTCTAATCTTTATTTGTTTACTCGATCTTAGCGTCTCAAAATTCAAAATTCAATCCGATTAGGCAATTTTTGGATCGTTCCAAGAAGCGGAAATGATCTTTTTCTTTAATCAAAATTCAAAAAATTCACAGAAAACCCTCTTAAAATCGGACTTTTCAAATATCATTTAATAATGGCTCAATTAGAAGAAGAGGTAATTGGATATGTGACGGACAGGTTCAAAGCATAAATAAGAGAGGAATATAGGGGGAAAAAGAGAGGAGGAAAAGAGGCTATGGGTCTATATTAGGGCTTTAGATTTGGCTAATGGGTTAAAAGGGAGGGAAAAGACAAGTCCACCTGTCAACCGTTAGATTGAGAAAAGATAAATAACTAGCCCCTATTTCTTTCAAGAAACACCAATTAGGCAATCCAACAATTTGACGTTAGACACTGTCATTTTAGGGATTTTAAAGGCTAAAAGAACAAATTTGATCGAAAGATTGGTTTGTTATGTAGAAATGTTGACTCTAAACCAATAGCTACTCTTAATATACATCATTACAGTGCCCTGGAGTATTGTAAGTGATATAAATAGCAAGATAAAGACAACAGCGATACAGTAACCCTATCAAGCGCTACAGTAACCCTATCAAGCGATACAGTAACTCTATCAAGCGCTACAGTAACCCAACAGTACCCCTAAAGACGACTGTGTAGTCTATTTAATGTCTAGCTTACCGTAATCCAGTTCAAAGCCTATGTCTGTTTACTGTATTCTAGATCTCTACTGTCCTGAAGATCAATAGTCCATGTCTAGCTTACCGTAGCTTACCGTAGCTTACGTAATCCAGTGCAGAGCCTATTCTATGGCTACTACCCTACCCTTTATCATTCCAGGTCCAGTGTCCAAGCTCTTTACACCACTTCAACCTTTAACGTAAGCTAGATTCCTCTCAAAACTTTAGCTAACTTACCTGAGCAGTTATACAGCCGAAAAATGAGCTCAGTTCAGCCTGAGCTCAGTTCAACCTGAGCTCAGTTCAGCCATTCATATGCATTATCTCCGCTCAACTTTGCAATCTCCTCTATCCTTATTTCCCCTATTTCCCTGTCTACGTGGTCCACCCTCTCTGATCTTCCATAATAGCCTCAATTAGTGGACCCAACCAATAAGCAGGTCAATTTACCGGGGATAAATATGAAAGAGGGGAGAAAGGAGCGGGGCTTAAAGGGAAACACGCAAGCATTCCCCTTTCCCCTTTCCCCCTATTTACCTACATGCTCCTTAGATCGTTACCTGGTCAACACCCCTTTAGAAACTTGAATAATTTTTCGGGGGTTTTCGGAGAGGAAAAGAGAAATAGCGATTCACGCTCAATTTCCCCCAAATCGTGCATAATTTTCTTTTTCTATAGCCAATAGCAACCGGGGGTGGCCTGAAAATTGGAGATGAGATTGGAAAAGGTATGGGATAAAGCTATTAGATGTTTGAACGATTGATTGGATGTATTGGATAGGATCTATTGATTGGAACTAATGATTGGAGTTATGCATTGGATCTATTGATTGGATCAATTGACTGGATCTATTGATTGGATCTATTCATTAGATCTATTCGTTGGATCTATTCGTTGGATCTATTGATTAGATCTATTCATTGGATCTATGCATTGGATCTATTCATTGGATCAATTGACTGGATCTATTGATTGGATCTATTCATTAGATCTATTCGTTGGATCTATTCGTTGGATCCATTGATTAGATCTATTCATTGGATCTATTCATTGGATCTATTGATTAGATCTATTCATTGGATCTATGCATTGGATCTATTCATTGGATCAATTGACTGGATCTATTGATTGGATCTATTCATTAGATCTATTCATTGAATCTATTCGCTGGATCTATTCATTGGATCTATTGATTGGATCTATTGATTAGATCTATTCATTGGATCTATGCATTAGATCAATTGACTGGATCTATTCATTAGATCTATTCATTAGAGCTATTGATTGGGTCTATTAATTGTATCTACTCATTACGAAACGTACAGTCCAAACAGACGCAGATTAACACAATGAAAAGTACTGTAGAGCTGTAAACAATCTTGGTCTTGATCTTGATCAAAAATCTTCATTCAATCCATTAAAATCTTAAGTGATTTGTATCGTTAATCGAATCAAATCATTCGAAAAACTGTGTTTTCTTCTCAAAAAATTCTTCTAAAATATGTTTTCCCCCATTTTTTTTGACCTTTTTCAAATTGATGGTTAAAGAAAAGGTTTTTGGGTAATTGAAAGCTTTTCGAAAATTTGATTTCCAGGCTTCCAGGCTACAATTTACAGCTGTAATACAGAAAATGAAGCTCAAAAGCTCAAAATTTCAGAAATTCATGAAATTTTTGTCATTTCTACTGTTCAATACACAGAATTTACATCGAAATTTTGAAAAATTTCGTAAAAATTCCCGAGAGATCCGAGTGCGCTAATTAGATGGGAATTGTTTGAGGGAAAAACAGCATTTCGTCAAAATTTAAAGCCAAATTTTGAGTTTCTATGAAAAAAGGGATCAATTATATAACTAAAAATCGAATTATTAAAAGATTTGAAAGGATTGAAATTTGAAAATTTTCAGAGAGGAGCTCGCGAGTCGCGTCAATCTCACCGAGGCTCGCGTTCAGGTGAGGAAAAGTTTTTCTTTTAAAAGTTTGCATGTAGAAATTGGGATCAACTTTTGCATAGACTATTCAGCAATGTTTAAATACAATATATAAATGTAGTATAGTCTTTAAAATTGATAGTTTTTGGCTTAAAAGAACCTCAACAAGCAACAAGCGCAAGCTAAAATTAGCATAAAGCTTTGCGATTAGCATAAAGCTATTGTGATTCTTGTAGGGTTACGGTAGCTGTAGGGTTAGTAGTTTGTCTTGATTACGGTAGCTTGTAGGGTTACGGTAGCTGTAGGGTTAGTAGTTTGTCTTGATTACGGTAGTTTGTAGGGTTACGGTAGCTGTAGGGTTAGTAGCTTGTCTTGATTACGGTAGTTCGTAGGGTTACGGTAGCTAGAAACTCTATGCAAGACTCTGCTTGTAATCAAATTTACTAATGATTACCGTAATCCTTAAAACAGATACCCTCTCTTGTACTTTGTACACTTTGTGCTCAAATGTGAACCTCAACAAGCAACCAGCGCAAGCTAAAATTAGCACAAAGCTTTGCTATTGTGATTCTTGTAGGGTTACGGTAGCTGTAGGGTTAGTAGCCTGTCTTGATTGTGATCTGTAAACGCACTCTTCTGGTGCACTGAATTCTTCTGCTTCTCGTCAAAATGAAGAATTTAGTGCGCTAAAAGTAATGTGTTTCCATTTTTCAGCACAACGTACAATAGATCAACCATTCAAACACTTGCAAACCTTCAAAAAACGCAAATCTTCTTCCCCGATTCCTTCGACGATTCTTGTACTTTGTTTCTAAAAGATATTCCTTCCAAAGCCATCATTATCTCTTTCTTTTTGTATCTCGTAGTCATAGTATTCCAAGTACAAACCTATTTCATGAATATATTAATCTAATTTTATTAGATTAAAGGAAGCCACAAGAAAAAAAAAAGAAACCCCGAATGAGCGCTAATCGTACAAGAACCGCTGACAGATTTGACGTAAATATTATATTTTCCAAGAAATGAATAGTATAACTATAATAGAAATAGTTTTATTGGAATTGGATTGGAATTGGATTGGATTTGGTGTAATTTTAGACTCAATGACGTCTGAGGATTGGCTCAAAATTGTAAACACTTTTTCTGACGCATTGGATTCTTTGGGGGCTATTGTTTGTATTGTTTGTACAACTCGATTCTGTAGACTGTAGACTGTAGACTGTAGACTGTAGACTGTAGACTGTAGACTGTAGACTGTAGACTGTAGACTGTAGACTGTAGACTGTAGACTGTAGACTGTAGACTGTAGACTGTGCTAGACGGGTACTGTAGCTTTATCGACACATACACACCTAATACCTGTACCAATACATCGTTCATACTCTAAACCCGTTCTGATCGTTAAAAACATCATTGAATCCTTTTTGCTAAATTCAATTTCATCTAGATTATATGGGGATCCAGGTGGATCTAATCCCGAACAATTAGTCGCTGACTGGGTAAGAGAGAGGAAATTGGGGTATTCTATCTCCTCTTTTCCCATTTACAGGAGATCATCCCCCATCATTTACACTCAATTCATCAATTTCATTCCAATCATTCTCATTAGGTCATCCATATCGACGAGATTAAAGTTCCCAGGCAATCCCTCAAAAAATTTCACCAAATAACGATATAGATTGTTATCTGATTCCGGTAATTTGTTGGGTAAAAGGTAATCCGTCAAATTTCTCAAGTATACTTTGTGTTAAAATCTAAAAACTTAATTTGGCGTTCTCGATTCTTCACTTTTGCGTAGTACCAAAGAAAACAAGACGCCAGAAAAAGTGTGTTTACAATTTTGAGCCAATTCTCTGACGTCATTGATCTCTAGAACCCACAAAGGACTTGCATAAGTATTTGGCCTAAAGGCTACAGTACCACCAGCTATCCAGCTACCACCAGTACAGTACTATCTACTTGTGCTAACAAGAGTTACAGTGCCTACAGTATCCCTGGACCCAGCTACAGTAGCTACAGACTCCTGTACTACAGTACTCCTCTACTACAGTACTCCTCTACTACAGTACTCCTGTACTACAATACTATCCAGTACAGTACCCCTGTGACAGACTTGTCCCAAACTTATGATACCTACAGTATCCACTACATAGTTTTTGTACTCTAAAATATCATAAACAGGCCTACAGCAACTGCAGCAGCAGCTACAGTATCCAAAAGTTACAGACAGTACTCAGTGGACTTAGCTATACAGTACCGGATCCAGATTAGATAAGTCTGAGCCCGAAGATATCTGTACTTCTACAGGATCCTAGATCCAGGATATAGAATAGCATCTGCATACCTATACAGTACAGTACCTCCAATTCAGCCTTGAATTCTTTTCTCATTTCCACTCGTTATTCGATTTCCCAAATCTTTGACTCTTACAGTAACGACAACAATTAAAAGTATTTCCCTCTTTTTCTCAATTTCATTCATTTCCCTAAACTCTCCAGAGAATTTCCTCAAATTTTTGTGTTTTCCTCAAAAATTCCAGACACTCACGCGGTTTCTTTTCGTAATTTAATTGAGTTGTTTATAAGATTTTGAAAATTTCGCACAAGATTCGGGTAATTGACAATTAGATGGTGTGCTAATGAAATGGGGAAAGGGGAAAAGTTGAGCAAAACACTTTTTGAGTCATTTGTTGAGTAAAAGAGGTGAAAGATGGATGGGAAACGTGATTGAGAGTTGGAGACTTTGAAGGAATCACAGAAAATGAGTCAGCTTTACTATTGAGCATAGATAAACGGTACTGTAAGTACAGTTAGTATGTAAAGTATTCAGCTGACTTCAGCTTCAACTGACTTCAGCTTCAGTTGACTTCAGCTTCAGCTGACTGATCACTTGCTTCAGTTAGAGAATTGAAAAGGTGCTCAGGTCTGAAAAAGATTGAGGACTCAATCCCTTCAATCCCCCTCTTCCATTTCTTACTTTGCTTTGTACTAGCAAGCGCTACAATATTTAGATTAAGATTCTAAAGTTATCCATCTATTTTGACACCATTATAGTTTAAAACCTTTCAGGTTTGGTTCCAAAATCGTCGTGCCAAATACCGTAAACAAGAGCGAACGACGAGCCATCCCTACGCTCATCCACCATTCCCGAACAATGAGGTAGATCTATAAACTGAACTTATGAACTTATGAACTTATGAACTTATCTCTTAAAAAAGATATTCAGTTAAGCTCTTGATATTTTAACATAATAATACAGTATGTTTTCTGATTCCTTATGTAAATTTTTAAAGCCTATTTTTACAGATGCCCTACATGGGCCATCCAGACCTTTTGCTGGCTGCTTTTCAACAACAGCAACTTGGTGAGTGAACTTAAAAGCAATATTTAAACATAGATTCATCTAAATCAATCTTATGCTTAAATTTCCAGAATCAATGCTGATGAATGGGAACACGTTGGCTGCAGCCGCTGCAGCCGCCGCCGCGCCAATCCAACGAACTCCTTCATCGCCGACATCCGAAGAGAACTCTCCGACCAGCCCCATTCCACAATCAGCTCTCCCACTTCTTCCACCCGATCATCCACTTCGAATCCTTTCAATGACCAATCCGACTCTTGGATTGATTTACATGCAACAGTTTCAACAAGCTATGGAAGCAATGAAGAATATTGGAGGTGATTGTTGAAAACTTGAAAAAGGCTTGGACTTGACTTTTGAAGTCTTGCTTTGCTTTGCCTTGCTACAAAACCATTAATGCTAATATTATCATCTAAAAAGCCAAATATTTTACATGATTCATATCAACTTATCAATATTTTCAATTCCAGGAATGCCTCAGCTCACCTCCGAGCGTCTTTCTGATCATCACGATTCACCGGAACCATTACCGACGAAATCCCCGAAATCCACTTCAATCACTAGCTTTGATCTCTCGTCGATTATTGGAAATGTGAAGAGTGAAGGGCTGACGATTGAGAATCTCTCGAATGATCCCGATTCTCCGTCCAGTCATGCGTCGACTCGATCACCGTTTCCCAATTAAAATTAGTGAACTGAAAATCATTCAAATCTAAACCTTTAGTCTATTCAGACCTATTTTTTTTTGATCAAATTTAAATAAAATAGATTTGATTGAGTTGTAAGATGAGTTTAAAGGCTGAATGCGTAAACGCACAGTTTCTGGCTCAACAACAAGTAGATCTTGGTGTGCCGGAAGCCTTGTATTTACAACAATAAACCCAATTTTTCTTCAATTTTCTTCAATTCCAAACCTTTCTACCATTTCTGTCGTACTCGTTCCCCTCAGAAATTTTGCATTTATCCCTTTTCCCCTTAAACAGCTTCATCGCCCGGTTGTCATCCCTTGTCTTTAGGATTGCAATAATGTTTAAAAGTTGAATTGTTGCAATAATAGTTGAATATCTTTAGAAACTAGCACCCATTTTTCTTGTAAAACCTTCAATTTTAAAGGCCAAATCTTTGTCAGTACTTTTTTTTTGCATTTGGATCTCTTTTTGTTTGTAGTTTTAAGAGTAGAATTTAGAAAATTTACAAATTTTTTTATATTTTCTGATGAAATCTTTTGTGTTTGCCGCTTCTTGTCAAAAAATTTCGTTTTCCGAATTGTGAATTTGTCATTTGTCCATTTTGTCGTAAATCCCTTCCCCTGCTTGCTAACGATTTGCATTTGTTTTTACTCTTTGATCAAAATTTATAACAAAAAAAATCAAAAATATTTATTCTACGCTTTCTCCCGTTCGTTTTTTATATTTTTTTATGTGAAAGTATTATTTTTTTTCTGATTTCTCTTCTCAAACAATGGCAATAAATTAGTTTTTTTTGAAAAAATTGAATAACATAAAAGCAACATATCAAAATAACAATTGAAAGTTTTTAAAAGTTAGAATTTGTTTATAGAAATCATAGAAATTTGAATTTCAAGCAGCTCCAACACACGTACATTTTTTTATTATAAATATTGAACCAACATTTCACTTTTATTCAGAAAGAAATAAAGTGCGAAAACGACATGAAAAATGTACTAGATAAAAGATGACAAAGTCACTTAAAATGCAACGAAATAGCCCTTTTAAAATCAGATCAAACGATCGAACGAAGAGATCAAACGCAACTTGTCGGGAAGGGCATTCCAAACTTTAGTCACACGATTTACGAAAAAAGCTCTAGAGGATTTAGAGAAAGCAGATTCGGGATGCAAGATAAAAGAGCCACGCCTAAGCCTCGAGCCTCAAGCCTAAGCCTCAAGTTTAGCCAAAAGCCTCGAGCCTCAAGCCTAAGCCTCATACCAAAAGCCTCGAGCCTCAAGCCTTAAGCCAAAAGCCTCGAGCCTCAAGCCTAAGCCTCAAGTTAGCCAAAAGCCTCGAGCCTCAAGCCTAAGCCTCAAGTTAGCCAAAAGCCTCGAGCCTCAAGCCTAAGCCTCAAGTTAGCCAAAAGCCTCGAGCCTCAAGCCTAAGCCTCAAGTTAGCCAAAAGCCTCGAGCCTCAAGCCTAAGCCTCAAGTTAGCCAAAAGCCTCGAGCCTCAAGCCTAAGCCTCAAGTTAGCCAAAAGCCTCGAGCCTCAAGCCTAAGCCTCAAGTTAGCCAAAAGCCTCGAGCCTCAAGCCTAAGCCTCAAGTTAGCCAAAAGCCTCGAGCCTCAAGCCTAAGCCTCAAGTTAGCCAAAGCCTCGAGCCTAAGCCTCAAGTTAGCCAAAAGCCTCGAGCCTCAAGCCTAAGCCTCAAGTTAGCCAAAAGCCTCGAGCCTCAAGCCTAAGCCTCAAGTTAGCCAAAAGCCTCGAGCCTCAAGCCTAAGCCTCAAGTTAGCCAAAAGCCTCGAGCCTCAAGCCTAAGCCTCAAGTTAGCCAAAAGCCTCGAGCCTCAAGCCTAAGCCTCAAGTTAGCCAAAAGCCTCGAGCCTCAAGCCTAAGCCTCAAGTTAGCCAAAAGCCTCGAGCCTCAAGCCTAAGCCTCAAGTTTAGCCAAAAGCCTCGAGTTTAATCGAAAAAGATTTTTAAAAAGAGGGTTTTGTTGTTTTCCTTTTACAATTTTAAAGCACTCAACCAAATCTATGAAGTTTTCCACACATTTGAGAAGTTTTCCCCTTTGAAGTCAATTTTGAGATCAAAAAGCTATTTTGAATTGAATATGCTAAAAATATAGCAATATTCTCTAGATTAGACTCCATTTTTAAACTCACATTTACAATTTCCATACTGATACTGATACTTGATTGGAGTGAAATGTTGGTTCAAATGTTTAAACGATTGTTCGATATGAAAACGCACGCTTTCTGACACACCAACCGAAGCAACTTTCCATTCAAATTGTACCAAGTATCAAGAAACGTTAGAAATCGTTCAAAAATAAAATCAAACAATCGTTTGAACGTTTGAACCAACATTTCACTCCAATCCCAGTATCAGTTTAAAACGTGAAAGGTTCAAGTTCGAAGTTTACAAAGCATTCAACATTTCAGACACGGCTCTCGTCCTTAAAAATCACCATGTTCCTCTTTTATACAATTCCGAATTGTCCATTTCATTCGAAAGATTTTGTTTAGCATACAAATTACCAAATTTTTTTCGTGGCTATAGTAGTTTTCTTCAAAAAATTTTTTGCACCAAATGAGTTTTTGCCCATGTTGAATCGATTGGTGATGGTTTCACACAACCCCTAATATACTTATTCTGGAATGAAGTGGCCAAAATGTACCCGTTTTCTTGAGTCATGTCCTCATTGGTGACTTTTTGACATTTTGTTGGTATTTTTGTTGCTATTTGTTATAAACGTTGTTAAAAATTGCCCAAATGTTGTGTGAAACGATCACCAATCGATTCAGCATAGTCAAAATCCCTGAGTGCAAAAAATCAGCTCATTTGGCGAAAAGAATTTTGCCCCTGACTACTATAGTACCGTTTTCTTATTGTTGTTCTTTCTTATTGTTGTTTCTTATTGTTGTTCTTATTGTTGTTCTTTCTTGTTATTAGATGTTGTTAAAATAAAACATAAAATTAATTTTTAAAAAGTTATAAAAATAGGTTAGGACCTGTTTTTCGGCAAGTTGCCTGTAGTCGAGTTTTGCCCAAAAATGCTATTAATTAATAAAAAAAGTTATAAAAGTATTACTAATCGATTCAGCATAGGCAAAAAAACTCTGTGTGCAAATTTTCGTGGAAAAATATTGATTTTGGTTTTGGAAAAAGTTCCAGACTGCTCCTCAAACTACTCTGGCCCCCGTTTTTTCAAGCCATAAATTCTCAGGACATTTTGTTTGTGCTTGTTTTTGTAAAAATCTTTACACATTTAAAATCTTCTGTAATACGAATAAAAAGTATCGTCATATTAAACAAATTTTTGATAAGACACATGACCTTTAATAAACAAAAAAGAGGCGACAAAATACTCAGCTCATAAATTGAGTACCTATTCTTTAGAGAATATTTTTGAAAATTTTACCCAAATTTTCGTTCGGCAGTAGACTCGCTTATCGATTTTATCGATACAAACGGCAAGCTCATGTTTGATCGATCAGATCTCGGCTTCTAGAACAGCTATCAATCTGCAAACTTTTTATTGGAAAGCCAAGAATCTCAACTTTTAACTGTTATCTCACACATAGCAAATTCCCATAGATGTGTGCTTTAACAGCTTTTCAATACTGATCGATACTCAAATATCGATACTTTCGATATTGATTGATAAGTATCGATAAGGTTTATGAGGTGCTTACTCATTAGAGCTCGCTATGTATAAAATAGCAAGCAAAAGCTGACATTCTTGTCTTTCCAATGAAACAATTTTCAGATTGATAGCTGTTCTAGAAACTGAGATCTGAACAGTAACACATGAGCATACCGTTTTTATCGATAATATCGATAAGCAAGTCGATTCAGCAGAACTATCCTCTAGCGTTACTTTTTGTGAATTTCTTTCTTTTTTCACTTTTGATTCTTTAAACATCTTTTCATTTAGGTTCTTCACGTTTCAAATGTCTGCGACGACCCATTCAATCGATTCGAGGCGATCATCATCCACGAGCGAACGCATTGGTCAATGGTTTGGATCACCCTACACTCGGGCCATGCAATTCGTAGGTTTTGGACAGTTTATCTTGTAACTAGATCTTAAGAATGGTACTTTTTCACTAACGGGCGTGGCAATTAATAACAGAGGAGCAAATAAATAGCAGGGATGGTAAATCTAGTATTCTATGAGTGTGAAAAGCATTGCGCAGCTTGTCCTAGCCTGCGCCCGGTATACTCTAGCTAGTTAAGATTAACCCAACCTCAGCAATTAGGTTTCGTAAGCAATAGTACGATTTGAAAGATTTGAAAAACCAATTCATAGTTTTTGCACAGTTTATCTTATCGTTAAAGTTTTATCACATTTCAGCCTAAAAGTTTGTCTCATTTACTTCTATTTTATTACATTAAAATTTTTAGGATGAGAGCAGAATGATTACACCGTATCGATCACTCGGACAATCTTCACCTGGCTTTTGTCGAAAACGGTTTCTTGCAAAAATGCTGGCAAACGAGCGCGGTCAAATGGTTTTTTGTTCAAAAATTACTTTTAATGTTAAAGTTCAGGTTTCGACATTAGTGGGCGTAATCCTTGTGCTGGTGCTCGCTTTGATATTTGGCGGAATATACACGAGATCGGGAAAGACAGGTAAAATAACAACTAGCTGGTTTTTCTATTGTTTAATTTTAGAGCTGGTACCGGTGAGTTCCGTACAGAGCACACATAGTGAAGAATTGGCAAAGCGCTTTACAAAGTTGCAAGTAAAGATTTTTTGTTTGAAGGTTTATAATTGACTTTAGGAAACCCTCCAAGCTTACGTCAGTGAACAACTCCGAATCGATCAACAGTTTATGAAGTTGCAACTCAAAGAGCAATACACAAGCTTGGTGCAAGAGATTCGAGGGCAATGTAACCAGGTTGGGAAGTTGGTCCAGATGTAACATAATGTTCAAGTTTAGTATGCCGACTATCAACGGGATATCATCATAAAGTGGCAAAGGAATGAACGCGCTTTTCAAGAACATTTCGATCGCTTGTCGCTTAAAGAGGAAGAGTTTGCTGATCGCATCGATAAAGTTATGCAGGTGGCTTTTATATCGATTGATGATCGTACTCTTTGTTTAGAGCTTTGCCCGAAGCATCGCGGCAGTGAAAGAAGACATCAAATTGGCTAATGAATGGAACAACGCAACAAGCACGCCCACCGAAGATGAATTCAATTTTGCAAGCGCTCAATATGGTGTTTTTATTATTGGATTTCATGTATTTTAGTTGCTTAGGTGCATTTTTTATCGCATCACAATCGACGGCAACTCTTCGACCAAAAATCAACAACCAACTACTAGATATGTTCATGAAAGTCGAGACAAGCAAGTATCCATTAATTGTAAGGATTTACCAAAGGAAATTTTGATTTGAATGAAACTTTAGGATCGAGCTGAACCTTTGCAACCTGGTGATTGTTGGTGTTTTAATGACCATTCCGGTACCTATGCTGTTCAACTTGCGGCACCAGTATTCATTGGTACTTTTTTTCACCAATGAGTTATGATAGCTTGATTTAGAAAGGTTTGAATACACCCACACAAAATGGGAACAAGCAGGAGCTCCGCCGTTGTCCGCACCTCGAACACTCCAACTATGGGTTGGTTAAGAGTTACAGCAAAACTAAATGATTTGATTAGGGCTGCAATTCGAGCTCTGATGTTGAATGTAGCTTTCTTGCGGAATGCGTCTACGCGCTCAACTCAAACTCCCATAAACTCACATGCTATGTAGACCAAAGACGGGTATGTTTTAACCTTTAGATACTAGCAAGTAGCTATCCTATTTTATATAGCATTATTTTAGCATTTTAACAGCAATTTGATGATCAAGATTAGATTCTCAGTCTGTTTGATTTAGAACTCGAAGCCAGTATCCTCTGTGGAATTGCGTGTGACTGGGAATCATGGTCAGGAGCACACTTGCCTCTACTCATTCCGTGTTTTTGGGACAAGGTAAAATTTCATAAACACTTTTACTTCTACGCTTATTCTTCAGATATTCACAACCATCAAAAATCCCGACCTTGTGAATAATGAACGGATTGTGATTTTTTTTTGTTATTATTTGCCCTTCCTTGTGCCCTTTGTTTATCATTTAACATTTCTGAATTGCTTTTGTAGATAGGTATTTGTCATATTTGTTGCGTTGTCGTTTTTATTTAGATTTCGTGCAGAGTACAAATTATCTGGTTGCTTGTTTTTCGAGGCAAATTAAAATGGTGTTCATAAAACGTTATTAATTTGTCCATTGTGTTGGTTCACGAATACAGCGTAGGTTCTTAGATTCGAAGAGACTCGGCAAGCTCTTGACACAGCAATCAAGCGAAAAGACTCCAGACCATTCACAAGACCCAAAAAATATCGAAGGCCTTTTGCCTCAGACACATCCGTTGCATGTCTATTCAATTCGTTCTTGTAAAGCGTCTCACAGCCATCGTTTTGAGCGACCGCCTTTATGAAATTTTTTTCTTTGGCAATATTGTTAAAAATTTGCTCACTATCGTACATTTGCATTCACCAAAAATTTGTAAAGAAAAGCGATGAGATTGACGGCTTTGTGACCCGCACAAAAGTGGGTCTTGATCCCGACGAAACAACCGAGTTTCTTTTCGAACGCTCTGAAATTCTCAGAGTTTCAATAACCGGAATTCTTTTGAGTTTCAAATATTGGTCGCTTCTCCACTTATCAGATTAGTTAGCAGTTTGAAGGTATAAAGAATTTGAGCGACTTATAAATCTCTGCACCATCGATCAAGTGATGGAGGCAGTGATCCGGTGTACGCTTTGAATATGATCTTCAATGAATTATCGTAGCTTTTGTTGGAAAAGAAACATTTGAACGTATCGGCAACTGAAAAACATTCAAGGAACGTATTTTACGTATAGGGTCTGTATTTTGATAGAGCCTTGGTAAAAACACAGTGCACCAGAACGGATGTGTTTCTGTTTTTAAGGACAATTCAATAACTCGCTGCTGAAATCCTCCTCGTCATCTCCACAAAACTTTGCTCTCCCTTCGTTCAAAAATTTTGGTATCCTCACTCGTCTCACTACATCTTTTTTATCTTTCACCGTTAAGAACTGCTCCTTAATTTTGCTGATGTCTTCCGATTTCTTTTGCATTCATTCAAACCTGCAAAAAGCGGTTCGAGTTGGTTGTTCATTGTTGAAGTACTTCGAGTTCTAACCATATGATTGGATTGAGGAAAACAAAATAAAAGACAAGTTTGGTTTTAAAGAGAAACCAAAATATCAGCAAAAACAACTCAACTGAAAGCCATAAGTTTTTTAAACTCACAATCTCATTCATGAAATCCCAATCGTCTGCTCCTGAAAAGCACGAAGCTTATAACAACTTTTTATTTGCATTTTAAGTTACTAAACTTTAAAGAACTCCTGAAAATAACATCAAATTCCAATCTCACCACACGCCTCCAACAAGACGACAATGTAGACAAATGAGTTAAGCATTTTAGCCATTTCCTTCGAACAACCTCGTCCCTGCTTCTATTTATGTAGAGCCAGCTAATGCGGGAGTATTCGACACTATTATACCTCTCAAGAAATATAAAACTAGTCAAATTGCTTTTAGTCAGTCTTTAGAAATCAACAAGGAAAAAATTATTTGGAAAACTGACTTAGGTAGCAAGAATTCGGAAAAATAGCATGACACCCAAAAATATGCACTTTTGACGCTCTTGACGTGAATAAGAGTCTCGTCGGAAAAAACTAAAGTGCTGTCAAATCGATATTGGCATGCTCGATATGCTTCTAAATTAGGAACAAGGGCACAACAAAAACAACCGCTTTTTAAAGTTCTTCCATTAAACGTCAAATTGACAATTATTACTTAACAATGCCTGCTTTGAATCTTATAATCACGAGTAATAAAGTCGTTTATTTCGACCATAAAAACAACAAAAAATGATAAGACTCAAATTGTGGAAAGGCTTTCAGTTATTCTTTGAGCTCGCGAAGTCGACGGATGGTAGATCTGACAGTTGATGCGGTGACGGTGGCGTACACATAAGCTCCTCCAGCGACTTTCTAAAATAAAAGCTTTAGTGAAGTAAAAATCACTCACTATTAGTGTTATTTACAGACCTATGAAGTAAACACGATATGTTCCTATATCATCGCAAAAATCAAGTCCTATACCTTGCTGCATTTGGTACAGCTCCAGATTCCAACGGCCGTTCTTTTCATAGCGTCCTTTCCACAGAATCCGCAGGTGTACTTGGCGTGTTGTGTGGTCTAAAGGCAGCTTATGTTAAAAAATTTTCTTCGAATCAACCTCAAGTTTCTTGGCCATCTTACGTAGGGAAGCTCCATAACGTGTGCCATACTTTCCGACGATTCCGACCTTCTTCGTGCGCTTTGCCATTTTTAACCCTTAAAGAAAACTCATGAGTCTTCGACAAACAACCAAACACCACAATTTTTACGATTAGAAAAAAAAGATGTTCAAAAGTTCAAAACTTTCTCGATGGCATCAAGTTGAATGCAAAAATTTATTTGAGATCATCACCCGAAAATTAAATGTGAACAACATGCTAAAGGAATGTTCTAAGGAAAGTAACACATTTGAGAACCCGTGGATAGACTAATATCATGAAAACTCAACAAGAACAAACAATGATATGTAATGGCATGAAATTTAATATGTGATAGTTAGCATTTCTCTTGTTCGAGCGCTTCCTTGACAAGCATCAACGTTGGAACCTAAAAGTCCCAGAATTATTAGCTCAACAAGACCAAACAATACCTCATTTCCATTCTCATCACGGTACTCCACAATAGCGACTTGTCCCTCTCCGTTTCCTTCAGCTTGTCGTTCACCGATAAAGAAGGCAAGATTCTTAAAGCGCTCCTTGGAGAGAAGGGAGACGACCCATGCTTGAATTTTCTTCTTGAAGTCGTTGACTTGATCCGCCGGTTTTCCCTCCTTTTCCATGTGCTCAATAACCTAAACAAGCAAATGATCAAGTTTCAACTTGTAAACACCTACCTTCTTCATAAACGTCTTCACGTAGCTTTTGAAGATGGTAGTATCCTCGTAGCAGTTCATTTCCTGGAGGTTGTGGTTGAGGACGAAATCGATTCCACGTTGAACGCTGCTATCATCCACACCAGCATCAGCTTCTTCTTCGGGGTTCTCGGATGGATTCGATCCGGCAAGAGTGATCTCACCCTAAAACAAGTAAAGTAAAATTGAAACGTAAGTGTTTTTTAATTGAGCCACTCGTTATTTAGTAGAACAGGAAATTTTATCTATTTCATATATTACAAATTTATACCTCCTTTCTGACGACGTGTTTCCCTTTGAATTCGTAGATGAGATCGTCAACAAGCTTCATTGGAAAGGAGTCAGAGGCGAGTTCATCTCCTAAAAATAACAAACATGATGTTTATAAAAGTTGAACAACTAGGTTCACTTCTCATTTAACAGTTAGCACTTGATAAACTGAAGCCTAAAGCTTAGGTACTCCTTAGCGTGCACCGCACTGTATGAACAAGAATTTTCCAACCATATCTGCTTTGATAAAGTCAGCTATTTATTGAGGTTCAAGAATAACAAATGTACCTGTGAAAACATCCTTGAAGATCAGCATTCTGCACCTGTTTGGAGTAGGTGATGTTTTACCTGAAAAAGAATAGAATAAGCACTGATATAAAAGGAGAAAGCAAGTCAAGGTGTACAATTAGTGTAAGTTTTTAAAGAGCTACGCATCAAAAAGTTGATGATTTTCATCAGCGCTATAAACAAAATGCTGTTTGAAACAAACGATCAATGGGGACTTCACATCTTACTAGCTTCAACTGCTTAATCACTCGACTCATTATTAAACTAGTCAACAAGAACAAAAACGCAAATTCTAAAGCAATCAAGAAAGTTTGTTAACGAAAACTGGGGTAGGCTAGTTTCCGCAACTTTTTTTGCGCAACAGGGTCATTTGCGCAACTCGGCATCACTTTCTTCTAAGTGGGCTAATCTTTATGATTTTGGTCTCATTTTGTAGATCTCAATAAGTGCAACAAAATGAAATCAAAATCATAAAGATTAGCCAACGTAGAAGAAAGTTATGGTGAGTTGCGCAAACGACCCAGTTGTGCAAATGACCCTGTTGCGCAAAAAAAGTTGCGGAAACTAGCCTACCCCCGAAAACTTGGAAAAAAATCGCAAATGGGAACGCCACAAACGGAAAATTAAAATTTCGACGAAAATCTGGCGTAAATCTGACGAAAATCGGGTACGGTCGCGAGAGCGCAGAATAGAATGCGAAAATGGCGTTCTTTGTGGAATTGCCCGCCTTGTGCACTGAATTTCCTCTTCTTTCTTCAAAAAAGTTAAGGAAATTAACTGAATCAAAAAGATTTGCACAATTTGAATTCAGTGAGTCAAATTAAAAAACAAAATATGGTAGAAGCGTTGTTCACCAACTGGTCAATCTTGGTCAAAACTGCAGCTTTGACTTTAGCTTACAAACTCTGTTTCCGATTTCTTCGCACAAAGTACATCCAACGATTCGTGTACTGGCGTTATAAATAAAGGCCTTGCTAGATCTTTGCACGCTTTGATTTGTATTCTTATAAAAATTTTCTCATCCGTTAATTGGTTTGTATTGTTTGCGGTAACAGAACTCTTTCTCATTGCAATCCTTGCCCGAATTGCACGTTTCTAGATCCGAGTTTCTAGATCATTTTATAGCACTATTTAGTAGCTCAAAAATTCTATACCCGCAAATAGATGATTTTGGGGTAATTTTAGAAAGTTCCACGTCGATTTGCCCCTTCAGACAGCCTATCTTGTGGCTTTTGCAAAATAAGACGTTGGGCACTCCAATTTTAACATTTTACTTTCAATAAAAAAGTTTACAACTCAAGAATGATCAATATATTTATTCAAATCAGAATCAGAATTCAAATCAGAATCAGAATGTTATAGGCAAAATCATTTTTCCTTTGCATCGGTAGACACCGATCATACAAGCATTCCCCAAGATTCCCAGGCAAAATTATAGTTTAACCCGCATACCAATTTTTCCCCAAGAAATTTTCTAGATCCATTTTTCCTAGGCTTTTTTTATTTGCTAAGTCTGAATATTGATTCATAAGCTAACAACTAGTTTCCTCAACTAAAAAATGAGTTTTTGCTTTATTTTGATAGAGTGACTTGAGGGTTTTTCTCACAAATGGAGGTGTCTCCTTTGCCAAATCGTTTTTTACGCAATAAAATAAAACAAATCTCCTCTCCAAACTTTGCCAAATCATTTTTTTACGCAATAAAATACAATAAAAGTACCGTAGTCTTGTTTCTAAGTTAGATCAAAGCTGGTAGTTTTCAGAAGCTGACGCATTTAAAAAAACGCAGTAGTTGATTGGAACGCAGAGTAGGTCCAGTGGACACTATTATATTTCAGATCTTTCAGTATGCTTTCAAATTTCTCAATAAAATAAATCTTTATCATGAGTATTGGATCTTTTCCTTGCATCTTTTCTCTACACAAATCTCTTCAGAGGCACATTCCTCATCTCGAATACATTTCTTCGATGGAGGTGTCTGAAAATGAATCGAATTGGTTAAATGGCTAGGTGTAGAATTAAAGTCAAAGCTGTAGAATATATTCTATAAAGTTTTTATAACTAGTTAAAGTATCCAAGTTTTGAATCAAAACCACTAAATGGTTTTACCTTTGAGAGCGGGTTGACGAGTTCGATAGAGTCGATATCGACGTGCTGAAATGGGACCTTACAAGTCTTAGTACTACCAGTGCTAGTAGTTAGTATTAAATCTTAATGATCTGGATAAAATTTGGATAATAACATTTTAATTTTTAAGTTCTATATTCAATTTTAACAGAAATTTCCGCGGCATTTTTTTTCCTGCGCCTTGCAGGGTCCGCCGCCATGGCCGACTGGCTAAAAGCTCTGTTTTTTTAAACACTTCAACTTTCAACAACTACTTCTAATTTTTTAAACAAACAGTCTATTTTTGTATCTTTTGATATCTTGAAACACTCATATAATTAGACCAAAATTAGATAGATTGGATAAAACTATGGCCAAGCTTACGGGAATTTTAGTAGATCATTATTTGAGAGAAACAAGATCCATTTAAATTCAGCCCCACTAAATCCTTCATCTTCTGAAAAACTAACCGATACTTCCACTGACTTATGAATTGTATCGTCTTTTTTGACTGGATCAGACTAAAACTCATTGAGAAGTCAAGAAATTACTCAAAGGCAAAAAGTTTAGGAGTGTCTAGAACCTACCTGTTCACCAGGTGTTGTCACGATGAAAGGCTAAATTGGTCAAGATTATTATAGCAGTTATCGTCCCAGTTTTTTTAGTGATACTCCTACTTTCACTGTGTTGCCTCTTGGTTCATCATCGGTGACCGGGACAGGCTAAAAGTCATTTGATTTCAAAAAAGTTCAAAATAATAACTCACTTACAGTAGTAATGACAACGATTGACGAGTTCTAGAGGTTAAAAACATTTCTGATTTCAAAAATTTTTATTACATTAGCTGCTCTAGTTGATCCATTAAAGTATCCACTTGTCACAGATTCCCCGGAAGTCACCAACGGATTTAGGAACTGAATTAATTCAATCATAGGTAAAGTGTATCCTATATGCGTTTTCGAAAGAACTTGGAAAACTACCTTAATCTCTTATCCATTTTGAAAATAAGGGTATGAGAGTTTTCAAGTTATTCACTTTTTAGAAAACGTCAATTATAAGTAGAAATGTTTTAAAATACAATACTATATTGATCTAATTGTTACCTCCATGAGTTTCTCAGTGGTTTCCCAAGCTTCGAAGGTAGGTGAAACAGGCTAAAATCGGCTGATTCGATCAAAAAGTGAAATCTGGGTTACCGTGTTATCAACAAGAGTTGGTTGAGCCTAAAATGAAAAAGATTAAGAACTAAAACTTGTAACAACTTGTGATACAACACTTGGCTGAGTTCTAACATTAATTTTTCTTAGTGTTGATGCATCTCCAGCTTCGGTCAACTGAAACGAAAGCCTTTGTTGATAAATTTCTTTGAAATTTATCAACTTCCGTATCAACTATCAATTAAGAATTTCCGTAAGTTGTTTTTGAACCCACCGTATGATTCAAAACAAACTGCTGACTATAAAATGGAGAATGACAAAGAAATTGTTTTTGTCTACCTGTGAGCTATCGCTTGGCTCGTTTACCCAATTGAAACCTTGACTTGACGACGGTTGATCTCCGGATTCGATAGGCTGAAGTTCTTTTGATAAAACTTATCAGCTATCAGTTAAATAGGTATCCAACACAATAAGTTGACTCTAAAGTTAGTCAACATTTTGGGATACACAAGAACTTACCAGCTGATCCACTTTTTGCTGGGTTACTACATCAATGCTTTGACTGGGTGTTGGTGTAGCTTTAGCAGGCTAAATTGATTTGCTAGCTTTGCAGTTGACTTAATTCGGATCTATTATTAAAGCTGGTTACCGTATGATCCACAGCAACAGGTTGAGATTGACTCTAAAGTAAAGAACGGTTCAAAAGACTATCTCACACTTTTCATTGGCTTTTGGCCGGCTTTGGCTTGACTAGTCACGGCTTTTAATTTTTTTTGAACATGTAGACAGAAATTATACCGTAGATTCGACAGAAACTACGATATTTCACAAATAACCACTTGTGATTCACTTGATCTAGTCACTACATCAACGCTTTGACTTGGTGTCGCTTGATCGCCAGCTTCAGAAGGCTTAAATTGAGATCTGCTGCATATTTTACTTACAGTATCACTTGGGTAAAAACCTACCAAGATCCCTGGTTGATCACTTGGTAAAACCAAGTCCTAAAACTTCCAATAACTTAAAAATTGTCACACTCTTACTGGAGTTGTCTCCGAGATCGGCGCTGTTTTCAATATGCCAAAAGTGACAATGAAAAATTGCAAACAAAAACATTTTTCTATTGTTTTGTGAAGATATTGAAAAACTTTGTCTAATTTGTTTGAAAATCGTTATCAAATTACCATTTATTGGGTGATTGAGTACGGTGGAGAATATAATTTTCGAGGAAATCGATGTTGACAGACAGTTTTTTGATTGAAAAATCTGAAAGTTTTTGGAGAAGAGAAGCTAGAATTAAGGGTAAAATTATTTGATTAATGAATAGAAACAGATTATCAGAATCAGAATTCAGAGTATCAAATCACCCATATTTGGGGTTACATGTGTATATTCAAACTCTAACAGATAGCTCTTCTGAATGTACTTCGTGCTAATGTAAACGCACCCTTTCTGTCGCATTGAACTCTTCGTTTTTCTGTAAAATCAAAGGTTGAGTGCACCAGAAAGAGTGCGTTTTCATTTTTGAGCACAAAGAACGTCAAATCTAAAGGATCTCAGTCTCAAATCTATTAAAATCAGCTTAATTATTATTTTCTTTCCTTCTTGCCATTTCCTGGGATTGAGAAAAGGACTGACACCACTGTTCTTTAGTGATTGCTTTTTCTGATTTCATCCTATCAATTCTTCTCGTCTTTGCCAAAACATTTGATTCAGATAAACGAAAATATTTCGCAAGTTTATTGAGTCACCAATTGCTTTGTAAGAAAATGAATGGTGACGCTTCTTCGAGAAAATTTTGGTGAAAAAAGCTTTAGGTTTAAGTTTTAGTAGACAACTTTAGCTATTAATTACTCAAAAGTAACATTAGTTTGATACTTTTGGTTAGACAAGGACAAGCTTCAAGCTAAAGCTACAGAAAGTACACTTTAGACTTAGACTCTCGACTTAAATTTAGAAATTGTACTTTAATAAGTTCTTGTTTTTATTTATTTGTTCTAAAAGTTCATTTCTTGCTGTTCTCTCACGCGACAAAGGTTTATCGGGGTCAATTTCCCCTTTCGCATCGAATTTCTAGAAGGTGAAAGGCGGTCTCAAAGCGCCCCCATTCAGTCAACAAGCTCGACTACGGTAACAAGAGCGCAAAGAGAATGTTCTGGGCCTAAAAACCACAAAATCGACCTTCTAGAACCCTCACGACGAGAGTAGAAAAAAGGAGAAAGAAAATAGACCCCGCCCATGGCTGTTCGCCATTCAAAAAGACACAAAATGACAAGAAAGCTTAGCGTTAGTGACAACCTTTTTGTTCATTTTATGGAAACTAATAATATTTGTCATAGAATTTAGCTGTTTCAATCAAGAAAGGACTTATTTTTGGGGGTGGGACAAATGCGACCTTTTTTTTGCGCACCTGGACATTTGCGCACCTTTTTTTTGCTGGAAAAGGCCTTAGGCAAGGCCGTAGAGCTTCGAGAATATTTCAAAAATATTTCCATATAAGGGAATCGTATGCGTAGATTCCGAATTTCGACAAATCAGACCTCGCTGACACGTCAACTTTGGGCTAAAAGGCAAAAACTGCGGAAAAGCGTTAAGTTGCGTAGTTTTTGCCTTTTAGCCCAAAGTTGACGTGTCAGCGAGGTCTGATTTGTCGAAATTCGGAATCTACGCATACGATTCCCTTATATGGAAATATTTTTGAAATATTCTCGAAGCTCTACGGCCTTGCCTAAGGCCTTTTCCAGCAAAAAAAAGGTGCGCAAATGTCCAGGTGCGCAAAAAAAAGGTCGCATTTGTCCCACCCCCCTTATTTTTCAATTTTAAGCTTATCATCGAAAGAGATTTGCTCAAGACAAAAGGCAAAGACCATTTTCTATAAAGTGATCTTTTGGAGAGCTCCGTTTTATAAGTGGCTTCATACCATATCCGTTCTGTAGCTAAATTGACGAAATTCCACATAATTTTTATTTCTTCAAACTTTGACTCAAGTTGGAGTTGAGCTGTCACAATTTTATGCATATTTCTTCAACAAGAGGAATTTTTGCAACGAATAACCCCCAACTAACACAAATCAGATTAGTCACAAATCGACGACGTTTTGGCACATTGATAACAAAATTGCCTTGCCTTTTGCGAACTTTCTAGACCTACCTGCTCTTGTACCTAAACCAGCCCAACCATTTCTTCGCATTCGTTTTCTCATTTGTCGAGCTTTTCCTATTCTTTGCACAGTTATAGTTCGTTTATTTACAGATAGTTGTATTTACAACGAACAAAAAAATGGCCAAAGCAAACGCTGTCGGAATCGATCTCGGAACCACCTATTCATGTGTCGGAGTCTTCATGCACGGCAAGGTGGAAATCATTGCCAATGATCAAGGTGACCTGAGCTTTTTTGAATTTAGACCTTTTCTAGGCATGAACTGAATGTTTGAGTCAAGTATTGAATGCAGTTAGCTTGATCTATAATTTGTTTGAACGTATTTCTTATTTTTAGGAAACCGAACTACTCCCTCGTACGTGGCTTTCACGGAGTCGGAACGTTTGATCGGTGATGCCGCCAAGAACCAAGTGGCGATGAACCCGCACAACACTGTTTTTGGTTAGTTTTGTTGCTATCTATCTAGATTTTATACTTTAATTATTGACTAAACAGATGGATTTAGATGCAAAACGTCTCATCGGCCGCAAATTCGAGGACTCAACTGTGCAATCGGACATGAAACATTGGCCCTTCAAAGTCGTGTCAGCCGAAGCCGGAAAGCCAAAGATTGAAGTCGAGTACAAAGGAGAGAACAAGACGTTCACGCCAGAGGAAATCTCATCAATGGTGCTCATCAAGATGAAAGAAACTGCCGAAGCCTTCCTTGGACAAACAGTCAAGGATGCTGTCGTCACTGTGCCTGCTTATTTCAATGACTCTCAACGACAGGTAGTAATACTATTCCTTATTTGTTTATCGAACTCTTTAGGCTACCAAGGATGCAGGCGCTATCGCCGGATTGAACGTTCTCCGAATCATCAATGAGCCCACTGCTGCCGCAATTGCTTACGGATTGGACAAGAAAGCCGCCGGCGAGCGAAACGTACTCATTTTCGATCTTGGTGGCGGCACCTTCGATGTCTCGATCTTGACAATTGAAGATGGAATCTTTGAAGTCAAATCTACTGCTGGAGACACTCATCTTGGAGGAGAGGTATAAAAGTTCTCTTTTGAAATGATAAACATTTGATTTTAGGACTTTGACAACCGAATGGTCAATCACTTCATTGCCGAATTCAAGCGAAAGCACAAGAAGGATCTCGCCACGAACCCTAGGGCTCTCCGTCGTCTCCGTACCGCGTGTGAGCGAGCAAAGAGAACCCTCTCTTCGTCATCGCAAGCTTCAATTGAGATCGACTCGCTCTTCGAGGGAATTGACTTCTACACAAACGTTACTCGTGCACGCTTTGAAGAGCTCTGCGCCGACCTCTTCCGTTCTACCATGGACCCTGTTGAGAAGGTAATTTCTGTTCAGAAGTTAAAAGCATAAGATCTTAAACAATTGAAATTACTTTTTTATTTCAGTCTCTCCGTGATGCTAAGATGGACAAGTCATCTGTTCACGATATTGTCTTGGTTGGAGGATCGACTCGTATTCCAAAGGTTCAAAAGCTTCTCTCTGACTTCTTCTCTGGCAAGGAACTCAACAAATCGATCAACCCCGATGAAGCTGTCGCTTATGGAGCTGCTGTTCAGGTAAGGAGAAGTTTCATTGCTTTGATTTGGACACTTTTTATCATATCTTAGAACACTTTGTTTAGGCTGCCATTCTTTCCGGAGACAAGTCTGAAACCGTGCAAGATCTTCTCCTCCTTGACGTTGCCCCTCTCTCTTTGGGAATCGAGACTGCCGGAGGAGTGATGACGGCTCTCATCAAGAGAAATACCACTATTCCAACCAAGACCTCGCAAACCTTCACAACTTATGCTGACAACCAGCCTGGAGTGCTCATTCAGGTTTGTCCTATTTTTAATTTTTATGACTAATTGCATTTTTTAGGTGTATGAAGGAGAGCGTGCAATGACCAAGGACAACAACTTGCTTGGAAAGTTTGAGCTCTCAGGAATCCCACCTGCACCTCGCGGTGTGCCTCAGATTGAGGTCACTTTTGACATCGACGCTAATGGAATCCTTAACGTCTCGGCTACGGACAAGTCAACCGGAAAGGCCAACAAGATTACCATCACTAATGATAAAGGACGTTTGTCAAAGGTTGGTTGTTTAATATTTTAATCTTTCAATGAAGCAATACTTACTTTAAAGCGTTTTTTATTTTCAACTTTAGGAAGAAATCGAGCGAATGGTGGAAGAAGCTGAGAAATACAAGGCTGATGATGACGTACAAAAGGAGCGTATTGGAGCCAAGAATGGACTCGAATCGTATGCTTTCAACATGAAACAAACAATCGACGATGAACAACTGAAATCGAAGCTCTCCGCAGAGGATCGCCAAAAGATCGAGTCAAAGTGCGATGAGGTGTTGAAATGGCTCGACTCCAACCAAACAGCTGAGAAGGACGAATTTGAACATCAACAAAAAGAACTCGAGTCCGTCTGCAATCCTATTATCACACGCCTTTATCAACAAGCTGGTGGAGCGCCAGGAGGTAGAATTTTTTACATTACTTACAATTAGTCGCCTTGAATTATGAGTTAAGACCAAGTAAAGTGTGGATGGAGGAGAGTGATCAATCACATTACATTTTATATTCAGGTGCCCCAGGAGGAGCCCCCGGAGGTGCATCTGGAGCTGGAGGACCAACCATCGAAGAGGTCGACTAATTGCGAACAAAAATCGCCAAGTTTCTCAAGTGATCTCATTCCGTTTTTTTTAATGTTTTTCAATAACTGTTGAAACAATATTGCAAAATATTGCAAACTGTGAATCTTTTCACCTTTTTCATCTAATTTATTCTGTTTACATTATTGTTTTGAAATAGAACTTTGTTTACAAATGTTCATTGAAAATGCGCAACATCACTTGAATATTGAGAACGTTTTATGCAAAATTTGGGGAAAGAACGAGGCTTAAATTGACCAAAAATGTTGGGAATCGAGTGCTGAAATTTTGTGTTTTTAGATGAGATGGGGTCCGAATCGTTTAATCGTTGCGGAACATTTGTATTATCATTTAAATGTTTCTAAATTTAGAAAACATTCTTTCAACTCGCCGTCTACTTTCAAAATTCGCGACCATGGCAGAAAAGACGGCATTAGTGATCCTCGCTGATGGAGCCGAAGAAATGGAAGCCACAATTGCCATTGACGTGCTGCGTCGGGGTGGAATTAAGGTTTGTTTTTGCATAATAAGATGGCACACACCAAACCAAAGTTCGTCTCATGGTTAGACTATTAAATGCCTTTCTGTTTCGATGAGGTGGCTAATTGATGGAATCTGATCTGAAGTTAATTATTATTAAGCTTGCGGTGATTACTATAAGATGTCACGATAAGATTACAATAAAAACATAATTTTTAAAACTAAATTTTATATTTAGGTGACGGTTGCGGGTCTTCAATCGGCAGACGTTGTGAAATGCGCTCGTGAGACTCGAATTCTCCCAGATCACTCGCTTTCCGATGTCAAGGAGAAAACATTTGACGCCATCGTTTTGCCCGGAGGGCAACCTGGAAGCAACTCTCTAGCAGCAAGTGCAGAAGTCGGAAAACTGTTGCAAAGCCAGGATCAAGCCAAAAGGATTGTCGCTGCGATTTGTGCTGCACCATTGGCATTGAAGAGTCACAAGATCGGACAGGGAGCCACAATTACTAGCTATCCGGGTGTTCGCGGCAGTGTCGAGTCGGATCTACACAAGTACTCGGAGGATTCTGTCGTTGTTTCTGGAAACATCGTCACATCGCGCGGACCGGGAACAGCTTTTCTCTTTGGACTCAAACTCGTCGAGGTGCTGGTCAATGCGGAGAAGGCTAAAGAGGTCGCTAAGGCTATGCTTGTCGACTACTAAATGTATGTTAACCTTGTAAATAGTGTTTTTTGTTTTTTTTTGTTTAGCTTGTGAATTAGCATCGAAGTCGGGTATCATAAGTCATTAGCTCTATAGTAAATTTAACTTCATCTTTTAGCCGAGTGTTGAAATAAATTGTTGTTCTATCTTGATCTTTTAGAAAATGCAAGCAAAGGACACTACTAGGAAATTAAAGCAAATCAGCTTATGGGATTTTTGTTGGTTTAAAAGAGAAAGGTTTCTGTTATTTGTCAGATGGAGGGATTGGTCCTTGCCGTGAGAATAGTAACAGTAGCCTTCATTTAAACAGTCCAAATATTGATCTGTTGTTTCCAATCAATTGTGATTAGTACATAAACACAAAATGTGAGTTTCTAGCTTTAGGTAAAGCTGAAAATTTATTTCTTCTACAGCACTTTTTAAAAATCTGCTTTTTGAAATTAATTTTTATTGTGCATTTTATTGTGATTCTCTTTTGAATTTGAATCCATTATTGATATGAGACTTCTTTTTGATTGGAAATATGAACTAAATGTCGATTATTTGGACCGTTTGTCGTGTGGGCGATTTGTTACTTGGTTTGTGGCCCCAATGCTCATTTTCAAATCAATGTGTTGAACGCGTACCTGAATACAAAATTTAAAACTTCTTTTTTGCCAATTCAAATACAAACTACCAGTTGCTTGCAATGGTTCGCTAGGAAATTGGGAGAAAGAGAGAGGGTTCTATGATTTGTCCCTTTGTGTCTGTCCAAAAGACATGTAGCCTCCAAAGAAACACCCATGTCATGTCGTTTAAAATCTTTTTGTTGATTGTTGCCCTAAATACAAGCTTCTACATGTCGATTCAAATAGAAAACCACCTAAATATGAATAAATCAGTTTTTGATACAAGTTGAAATTGAAATTTCGGAGAGGTGGATACCAGTCAACAAAATATGAAATATGAAAATGATGAATTTTTATGAAATCCGCATCAATTTTTGTGATTCTTGTGTTTGGAGATCCATGTGTCGAAAAAACGAAACTTTTGACTGCATACACGACCGGTCTCGTTCTCGATAGCATTTGATGTTCCCACAGTTTACGACAACTACTCGATACCCGTTCTTTTAGATGGCCTGGCAATTACCGTGAGTCTCCATGACACTTAGGGAATCGAGGAATACAATTGATTGAGGCCATTGTCCTATTCAAATGTCGATGTGTTTCTCTTGTGCTTCTCACTCGTCAACACGATCTCTTTTAAGAACATTTGTTCAAAATGGTATCCAGAAGTTTTGAAGCATTGCCCAAAAGTGCCGATCGTTTTGGTCGGAACACAATTAGAGTTGAGGGAAGATCCAGAAATGTTGCGAGAAAAGTGGTTACTTCCCATCAAAAAAAAGCAAGGTCAAGCTATTGCAAACGAGATCAAAGCAGCGGCATATGTCGAATGTTCGGTTTTTCGAGAAGAAGAAGTGAAACGCGTTTTTGAGACGGCAATCCGCTTAATTCTATTTGAGCTGAAACCAAAAAAGAAGAGCAACATTCTGGCTAAAATGAGCTCTTCGATCAGAGGTCTTCGGGAGGTTACGAGCCTCTCACAAACAGTAGAGGATCAAACGCTAGCTGCATCAAAAGAACCACAAAGTTTGAACCAGGAAAAGACTTTTTTAGAGTTTTTTTTAGTTTATTTCCAAACTTGCAAAACGCCTAATTGGAAGTGGAGCTTTCGCCGACGTTTACGAGAAAACATTAAACAATAAACATTGTTAACTTCGTTGTTTGCTGTTGTTAACAATAAACATCGTTAACTTGTTAACTTTTTGCTTCGTAAAGTGTAGGGAAACAGTTACAAAGTTGCAAAAACATTCCAACACTTGTTTTTCATCTCACTAATGAGTGGGTATAACCTAAATATGTGCAAATGGAACACTTTTTCCACGTTTCTCCCTTTGAAAAAGCTTTTTCTTTGATCAAAAGAGTCAAATATCTATGCAAACATTCATCTCAAATATAGGTTGAGTGAAAATTTTTGTGGTAAACAAGCCCAAAAAATGGGTGGGGGTAACGCAAGCAAGGAGTCATAATCGGGTGTTGATCCTTTATATGTTTACGCGGTGGTGTTTGGAAGGGATAGAAATTATTCTGCCTCAAAAAACTCGCTTCTTTTCCTCTTTTCCACCTCGCAGTTTTGCTCTAGCTCATTTTCTGGCTTTTCGCACTTTAGAGCGATAATTCGGGTAATTTCTTCATTCATTATTCTTTTTTTCATTAGATCGGTGATCGTGAAATTGAATTGACCTCGCAACTTTAATCGAAACGCTCCTTTTTTTTGAAGAGATGAACACATTTTTCACGCTTTCGCTTCACTGAAATTCAACGAAGGACTTTGGTTTGATGTTCGGCTGAAGTAAGTGTTGAAAAGTGCTGAAGAGTGCTGAAGTAAGTGCTGAAGTAAGTGCATTTCTTGGGAAATTGAAACATTCTAGTTCTGAGCATAGGCTATTCAATTTTTGCTCAGAAACTTCCCGTTAACTGGTGTAAAGCAGTAGGTATTTGTAAGAAAATCAGCGCTTATTGTAAAACTGCTGATAAAAGTGGCACAAGGTTTCCATTTGCTTAAATCTGAATGTCAATTGGTCTTGTTAACAATGTTAAACCGGTCAATGGTTCTGTCAATCGACCAATAGTTCTGAAACATGTCCCAGCTACCGTAATCCGGTATAACTCTTGATACTGGACTTGTTTATTGGAAAAGGTAAGATAAGCAAGTTACTTGAATGTACAAGTGTGCAAACTTGTGAGTAAATTATCGATGGAATGAGCTGGCTTGAACTTAAGTGGTTCGACTGACTTCGAGACCATTTAATAGCCATTTTTTTGACCAAGTCTCTTCGTGAGCTTTCCAGTTCTCCATTTTAGTCTATTCATGAACTGTTTCAGTAAATGAATGCAAATCTTCTCTAAACGATCTCTCTCTCTGTTTTTATGAAGCCCAGTGACGTATCGCTCGATTCTCCTTGTTTCCTTTGTACCCAAAAAGATTTTTTCGACTTCTAATTTCTAATTTTCTTTTATTTCAGGGTAAATGAAATGATTTTGCATTAATGTAGATTCTTTAAATTTGCATAGAAACTTTTTACCGCAATACTGCATCCTATCGTAGCCTACTGTAGCTCTGAGCTTTGTCTTTTAAGCTCAGACTGTTTTCGAAAGTTGGTACGTTTTAGAAAATGGAATACACTGTAGCCATTCTATTTCAGGTCTTACGACAATATAAATGCATTTGATCTTTGAAATTCTCTAGAAAATCTCTTCCGAAACGAAAATAGAACTCCATTCTTCTAAAAGCTGCTCAATAAATTTTTCTAGTGAATGAAAGTTTACGAAAGACGAAAGTTTTCTTTTTTCTTTGAGCTAATAATTTGAGTGGGTCAAATTTGAGTGTTTCTCTCTTTTTTTTCCAATTCAAAAGCCTATTCATCATTTTTCAGTGCTTTTCTTTTTCCAAGGGTGTTCAATTCAGCCAAAGTGGCCCGAGAATTGAAGGACCCAAGGAAATTGACGCAAATTTTGGTTTGAGATAAACATTCGATAGTTTTACTTTTGTTTTTAACTTCGGAGTTGATTAGACTGTATAAAGCTGTATCAATTAGATTCTACATAAAAATTCGGCTTTAGAAGTTTTGGATCCCGCTTTTCATAAGGAAAATATTTTGCCTGTCTTTTCTGAAATTTATTTTGAAATCCCGAAAGCTCTACCTTCTTTGGTTAAAAGAAAGTGTTCATTTGCTCGTACTGTAAATGTCTTTAATTCAAAGCGATAGTATTCAGATCGAGTGTGTACCCGATAGTGTGTTTTCTAAAACGTGCTGACTCTTGAAAACTACATTGTCTGCCTCTTTTCTCTATTTTTGATAGCATTCTGTATCCTTCGTGCTTACAAAATTCAATCAAAAGTTTATTTACAATAAAATTCTAAAGCTTTGATGTTTTAAACTTCTAATTGCAATCTCTTTGCATTTTATGTCTCAAAAAGTGTGTTTTCATCATAAAATCAACCATTTGAGACTTATTTTTCTCTTTTTTTTAAACTCTTACTCATATTACTGATTGTGAGTTTGTAATTCGAATGTGTTTTGCTTTCTGCATCTTTTCTTTGAACCAATTACAATGGAGAAATCTCGATTAGACTTTATGGCAATTTTATAAAAAATACAATCAATCTTTGTTGAGAATTTATGAATAATAATTGATCATTTTTTGTTGATAATTTCTATTATCAAAGTATTGGGTTGTTCAGTTATGAATGCGCGTTTTTACTATTTTGTAAATTTCTCAGGATATCGAACAGATGTCTATGAGTGTTATATATCATTCGAAAGCTGAAGATCTCCTCTAAATTTTGGAATAAAAAGTTTTTGAATTCATTCAACTTTTTGGGAAATTGACTGCACAAAGGGCGGAGGTCGTTTTCGAAAAAACCCATTCCAGCTTAGCTATTCCTCAGGTTTTATGGTGTAAAATAACCGCCCAGAAAAGAAAAGAAAAGTAAAGATGCTCTGAAATTGGTCTATTTAAAAAAAGTTGTATTGATATATCTATTGGCCAAACATCAAACGGTTAACTCAATTTGAGCGGAGCCAAAACTTGATCCAAAGGCACCTTTCCATTTTTTTCCACCTCTTCTTCTGTGCAGTCAATTTGCCCAAAAGTTGAACAAATTCAAAAACTTTTTATATCAAAATGTAGAGGAGATCTTCAGCTTTCGAATAATACTCATATATATCTTTTTCTTGATTTCGGTATCTTGAGAAATTTAAAAAATAGTAAAAAACGCGCATTCATAACTGGACAACCCAATAGTTCAAGAATTTAATTTTCTTTATTTTTCGATCGGTTCACTAGTTTTTTGCATTGAGCTCTCTTTTCCATTGATTCTTATTGAAATCCGAATGACTTTTCGACATTTTTTAGTTTAGATTTTGTTGAAATTCTCGCTTTCCCATAGTC